AAAGATCTTGGGGTCCTCGTGGACAACATGTTAAACATAAGCCAACAATGTGATGTGGCAGCAAAAAAAAGCCAATGGGATTTTGGCTTGCATACATAGGAGTATAGTGTCTAGATTCAGGGAAGTAATGCTATCCTATATTCTGCCTTGGTTAGACCACATCTTGAATACTGTGTCCAATTCTTGGCAACACAATTGAAGGGAGATATTGACAAGCTGGAAAGTGTCCAGAGGAGGGCGACTAAAATGATCAAGGGTCTGGAGAACAAGCCCTATGAGGAGTGGCTTAAAGAGCTGGGCATGTTTAGCCTGAAGAAGAGAAGGCTGAGAGGAGACATGATAGCCATGTATAAATATGTGAGAAGAAGTCATAGGGAGGAGGGAGCAAGCTTGTTTTCTGCTTCCTTGGAGACTAGGACGCGGAACAATGGCTTCAAACTACAAGAAAGGAGATTCCATCTGAACATGAGGAAGAACTTCCTGACTGTGAGAGCCATTCAGCAGTGGAACTGTGTTTGAGGCTCCTTCTCTGGAAGCTTTAAAACCAAGCCTGGACAGCCATCTGTCAGGGGTGCTTTGAATGCAATATTTCTGCTTCTTGGCAGGGGGTTGGACTGGATGGCCCATGAGGTCTCTTCCAACTCTATGATTTTATAAGGTTGGAGAGTGGCCCCTGATCAAAAAAAAAAAAAAAAAGGTTGGGAACCACTGATCTACACTGTAGAATTATTGCAGTTCAATATCACTTAAACTGCCATGGTTCAACACTGTGGAATCATGAAGAGATCTCATATCCTGGGACCTATAGGAACTTAGGAAGAGCCCTTGGCCTATCTCCCTCATTCTTGAACAGTTCTTTTAAAGTTCAGACTAGAACCCAGAACAGATTCCAAGTCCCACATGGACACGACAAGCCTTTGGCTACTATTAAGGACCCTTCCACAAAGCCATCCTCATCCTCATCCTCATCCTAGATCCAGGGAAGTCATGCTCCCCATGCTCTATTCTGCCTTGGTCAGAACACACCTGGAATATTGTGTCCAAGTCTGGGCACCACATTTGAAGAGAGGTATTGACAAGCTGGAATGTGTCCAGAGGAGGGTGACTAAAATGATCAAGGGTCTGGAGAACAAGCCCTATGAGGAGCGGCTTAAGGAGCTGGGCATGTTTAGCCTGAAGAAGAGAAGGCTGATAGGAGATATGATAACCATGTATAAATATGTGAGAGGAAGCCACAGGGAGGAGGGAGCAAGCTTGTTTTCTGCTTCCTTGGAGACTAGGACGCGGAACAATGGCTTCAAACTACAAGAGAGGAGATTCCATCTGAACATGAGGAAGAACTTCCTGACTGTGAGAGCCGTTCAGCAGTGGAACTCTCTGCCCCAGAGTGTGGTGGAGGCTCCTTCTTTGGAAGCTTTTAAACAGAGGCTGGATGGCCATCTGTCGGGGGTGCTTTGAATGCAATATTCCTGCTTCTTGGCAGGGGGTTGGACTGGATGGCCCATGAGGTCTCTTCCAACTCTTTGATTCTATGATTCTATGATTTATATATTTCCTTTCTCCCCCATCCGGGGACTCAACGTGGCCAACATTTACACACTAAACAGGTTAAAAAGAGCAATTACAAAAACAATCAAATAATAACAGGGTGATAAAAGGCAGAATTAAAATACAGAAAGACATTAAAATGGCCTTTTAAAACTCATACCACCCCCAATCCCACTCACCCTTCAAATAACAGCCATATAACCCAGAATATCAAGGCAGACAATCCATAATATCTGGTATAAACTGGGTTATCAGAGTCCACACTGCCACAGAATCCAGTTCAATGTGGATTGGATACAGATGTGTGAAAGGCACCTTAGAGAAGGGTTTCATTCTAGGCCAGGCATGGGCCAACTTCGATAGGAATTGTGGGAGTTAAAGTCCAAAACACCTGGAGGGCTGAAGTTGGCCCATGCCTGGTCTAGGTCTTCCTTCCATAGTATGGATAGCTTCCGATGTCTATAGTGCATCCTTCTTCTTTTCCTCCTCCTAAGAGTGAAATCAAGACATTGGTTTGACTTCTCTATGGCGAAATCTCTGTCTCCTTCTCCCCATCGCTGGCGCATCAGGAACTGTCTGCTCTTTCCGCCGCTTAGGCTAACAAGGGCTGTCTGGTCTCTGCTTCCAGCTGGGAATTTGGCCACATCTCCCTTGTCTTATGATAAAAGAAGCAGAGGCATCTCAAGGCACTCCACTGCAATGGTAACAGCCCATGAGGGAGCCCATTGAGGCGCATCTGTGCACCGCCTCCTCCTCTCTTAAGGGTGTAACACAATGCCGTGACACAGATACACGCTCACTCATGCGTGCATGCAGAGTCTGCGGTCTTTTCTTTAGCAGCTGGGTCTTCATAAGCAGCCTGGGGCACCAAGAACGATGCCTTTATGCCAGTGGCAGCCCTAGGTAATTTTCAGTATTTTGGCGCCCCCCCCCCCCCAACCAATCATTGATATATATTTTCTGTTCGTTGTGGGAGGTCTGTGTGCCATATTTGGTTCAATTCCATCATTGGTGGAGTTCAGAATGCTCTTTGATTGTAGGTGAACTATACATCCCAGTAACTACAACTCGCATATGTCAAGGTCTATTTTCCCCCAAGAGTGCCTCAAGAGTGCCCCTGGGCAAAATCAACTATACTGCAAATGCTTACTTTGCATAATGGGTTGCCGAGGCTCCCCCCGACTGATAGGGCTGTTGTGAGCCGAGGGGGTGCTCCTCGAGGGGCATTTACAGAGGCACCTCTGCGCCCCTGGAAAAAAAAGTGTACTGCGACCGCTTACTTTGCGTAATGGACGAGCCGCCCCTGCTTTATGCATTGGGAAAGTGTCCCGTTTGCAAAGGGATTTGCATGCATCCCTAGACCTCAACCTTCCTAAGAATCATTGACCTCATACCAAATGCATCCTTGCCAATCTGAAAATATTTCTTCTGCCTCTGTGAACTTTCAAAGCTGTCTCCTATTAGGGGTAAGAGGTCTACACTGCAGAATTAACGCAGTTTGACACCACTTGAACTGCCATAGCTCCATGCGATGAATTCCTGGAAGCTGCAGTTCTACTTGGTCTTTTACCTTCTCTGTCAATGACTGCTGGTGTCTCACTAAACTACAAGTCCCATAATTCCATAGCATGGAGTCACGGTCGTTCAAGTGGTGCCAAACTGCATTAATTCTACAGTGTAAATGAGTCCTTAATGGAGAAATACTTGCAGCAGAAGTAAGATCAGATCTGGTTTTCTGAAGCCTTTAGGTTCCCAATAATTCAATTCCTCATTAACTTATAACTGCTGTATAATGTGGTTATAGTGAAATTATGAGGGGAGGGAGCTACTTATAGTATGGGATTCACTGGGGTTTGATTCCTGGAAGCCATTGAGGACACCAAAATCCATGGCACCCCATTATAGACTTGAGTCCCATTATATGCAATGGTGCATGTGAAAATCAAGGTTTACTTTTTGGAACACCCACACACACACATATATAACCATGGATAGCTGCTTCTGTGGCTACAGAGTCAGTGGATATTGAGGCCAAAAGGGCAAGCAATTCTTATTCTTATTAGTCACTTTCAACCTCTGCCTGATCCCTGTAAACTTCAGCAGATGTATGGAATCCATATGTAAGTCCTGAGTGGAGTAGATCTACTAGATCAACAAGGCTTCAGCAGATGTATGGAATCCATACATAAGTCCTGACTAGATCAATAGGACATTGGCAGATGTATGGAATCCATATGTAAGTCCTGAGTAGAGTAGACCTACTAGATCAATAGGGCTTCAGCAGATGTATGGATTCCATACGTAAGTCCTGATTAGATCGATAGAACGTTGGCAGATGTATGGAATCCATATATAAGTCCTGAGTAGACCTACTAGATCAATAGGGCTTCAGCAGATGTATGGAATCTATACGTAAGTCCTGATTAGATCAATAGGGCTTCAGCAGATGTATGGAATCCAAATGTAAGTCCTGACTAGATCAATAGGACATTGGCAGATGTATGGAATCCATATGTAAGCCCTGAGTAGAGTAGACCTAATAGATCACTAGGGCTTCAGCAGATGTATGGAATCTGCCGTCGGCAGATGTATGGAATCCATATGTAAGTCCTGAGTAGAGTAGACCTACTAGATCAATAGGGCCACAGCAGACGTATAAAATCTGCCATCAATAGAGTTGCAGCAGATGTATGGAATCCATACGTAAGTCATGACTAGATCAATAGGACATCGGTAGATTATGAATCCATACGTAAGTCCTGATTAGATCAATAGGGCTTTGTCAGATGTATGGAATCAATCCACACTAAGTCCTGAGTAGACCTACTAGATCGATAGGACTTCAGCAGGTCTATGGAATCCATATGTAATTCCTGACTAGATCAATAGGACTTCAGCAAATGTGTGGAATCCATATGTAAGTCCTAAGTAGAGTAGACCTACTAGATCAAAAAGACTTCAGCAGATGTATGAAATCCACATGTAAGTCCTGAGTAGATTAGACCTACTAGATCAGGCCTGGGCAAACTTGGACCCTCTAGGTGTTTTGGACTTCAACTCCCACAATTCCTAACAGCCTACTGGCTTTTAGGAATTGTGGGAGTTGAAGTCCAAAACACCTGGAGGGCTGAAGCTTACCCAGGCCTACTAGATCAATAGGGCTTCAGGAGATGTATGGAAAACATATCTAAGACCTGAGTAGAGTAGACCTAGTAGATCAATAGGAGTTCAGCAGATGTATGGAATCCATAGGAACCTGTGAAGAATATCAATGATCCAACCGACCCTCTAGAGTTGGGTCCAGCAAGTGATGACAGGTTGCAGCGTTAGAGGGAGGCCATCCAAAACCCACAAAGAAAATTGCATTGGAGCTTGGAAGCGGCTCCTTGGAATGCGCCTTGAGTTCCTTTGGAAGCATCTTGCGGCCCTCTAAGTGAAGCAGCTGAGTAAACTTGGCTTTTGTTTGAAGTGAAAAGGAGGGAGTGAGTGGGGGAAAGGGGGAAGGGAGGCTGGGCAGAGAGAGAGAGAGAAAGAGAGAGTGACCTCCTTTTGAATCCGGCAACATCTGGGACGGCTCAGAAAGCCATGAGTCGACAGAAAGGAAGAGGGAGGAAAGCCCTGGTGCCAAGACAGGAGGAGATGCTTCACGCGGAGAAGGACTTGGGAGACTTTGGGGAAGGAAGGGATAGGCTCATAGAATCAGAGTCATAGAATCAAAAAGTTGGAAGAGACCTCATGGGCCATCCAGTCCAACCCCCTGCCAAGAAGCAGGAATATTGCATTCAAATCACCCCTGACAGATGGCCATCCAGCCTCTGTTTAAAAGCTTCCAAAGAAGGAGCCTCCACCACACTCTGGGGCAGAGAGTTCCACTGCTGAACAGCTCTCACAGTCAGGAAGTTCCTCCTCATGTTCAGATGGAATCTCCTCTCTTGTAGTTTGAAGCCATTGTTCCACGTCCTAGTCTCCAAGGAAGCAGAAAACAAGCTTGTTCCCTCCTCCATGTGGCTTCCTCTCACATATTTATACATGGCTATCATATCTCCTCTCAGCCTTCTCTTCTTCAGGCTAAACATGCCCAGCTCCTTAAGCCGCTCCTCATAGGGCTTGTTCTCCAGACCCTTGATCATTTTAGTCGCCCTCCTCTTGGACACATTCCAGCTTGTCAATATCTCTCTTGAATTGTGGTGCCCAGAATTGGACACAATATTCCAGGTGTGGTCTAACCAAAGTGGAATAGAGGGGTAGCATTACTTCCCTAGATCTAGACACTATGCTCCTCTTGATGCAGGCCAAAATCCCATTGGCTTTTTTTGCCGCCACATCACATTGTTGGCTCATGTTTAACTTGTCCACGAGGACTCCAAGATCTTTTTCACACGTACTGCTCTCGAGCCAGGCATTGTCCCCCATTCTGTATCTTTGCATTTCGTTTTTTTCTGCCTAAGTGGAGTATCTTGCATTTGTCACTGTTGAACTTCATTTTGTTAGTTTTGGCCCATCTCTCTAATCTGTCAAGATCGTTTTGAATCCTGCTCCTGTCCTCTGGAGTATTGGCTATCCCTCCCAATTTGGTGTCGTCTGCAAACTTGATGATCCTGCCTTCATCTTGTGGAAGTTGCAGCTCTCAGGGCAGTCATAGGTTGCCTATCATAGAGCCATGCTCCCTCTCAGCCTTCTCTTCTCCAGGCTCAGTATATCCAGCTTCTATTGATGCAACCTAAGATTGCATTGGCTTTTGAAGTGGGAATGTATGAGTCTCAAAGACCCAGCAGTCCATAATGGGCTCCGGTCTCCATCCCTAGCCTTGCTGCACATTCACCCGTCCGTACTATCAAATAAGCCTTCCAAATGGAAGTTGCATGTTCATTTAACCAAAGGCTTAAGAGGTTGTTCGTTATCATACACAGAGAGAGCGGGGCTTAAGATACGAATGAAGGATTGCTTTCGTGGCATTATGCCTGCTTTTGCTCTTGGCCAATTGCACAATTGCGGGACCGAACAGCATGTTCTCCAGCTGTTCCATAGCACTGACCATCCTCCTGCCAAAGAGGCTTTACACTCATGCCATTAAAGCTGCAATTTCCACAAGAATAGAACCCAATGAACTTTTAGGACTGAGTCAAATCTAAATAGGATTGGAACTGCGGGGAGCATTTCTGTGCAGGTCCGCTCGGAAAAAATCCCCAGTTTTTTTGGTTTTTTTTGGTCGTGTCAGGAGCGACTTGAGAAACTGCAAGTCGCTTCTGGTGTGAGAGAATTGGCCGTCTGCAAGGACGTTGCCCAGGGGACGTCGGGATGATTTGATGTTTTTATCATCCTTGTGGGAGGCTTATCTCATGTCCCCGCATGAGGAGCTGGAGCTGATAGAGGGAGCTCATCCGCCTCTCCCCAGATTTGAACCTGTGACCTGTTGGTCTTCAGTCCTGCCAGCGCAGGGGTTTAACCCACTGCGCCACCGGGGGCTCCAGAATCCCCAGTGAATGGAACTGACTCTCACATGAAGGGCTGACGGGACTGCAACTCCTACAGAACGCAAAGGAGCTAAAATGCACACCTCCCTTGTCCAAAGAAGACATCATTAGTCAATAAAATAGGAAAAAGGAACAGAGGGATTTGGGGAAGTATTGGTATAAGCCCACTTCATAGAATGGACCTCAAAGGTGGGGTAGAGGTACATTTGGAACTTGGGTTCAACTATGCCTTGGGCAGCTTGCTGGGTGAGTTGGGGTTAATGGGGATTGTAGTCAAAAGCTGCCCAAAACCCCAACACTCTTTAGCAGAGAAGAGTCAAGTCCTTGAAAAACTACAGCTCCCAGGATCCCATAGCCTTGAATCAGGCAATTTAAGTGGAGTCAAACTGTGTCAATTCTGCGGTGTACATGAAGCCTCAGAGTGATTGCTGGGTTGTTTGATTCTAACCAGCTGCCTCTATGAATTCTTCAAAAAAAGGAACAAAGGAAGGAAGGAAGGAAGAAGGAAGGAAGGAAGGAAGGAAGGAAGGAAGGAAGGAAGGAAGGAAGGAAGAAGGAAAGGAAGGCAGAAGGAAGAAAGGAAAGGAAAGGAAGGAAGGAAAGGAAAGGAAAGGAAGGAAGGAAAGGAAGGAAAAGGAAGAAGGAAGGAAAAAAAAGGAAGGAAGGAAGGAAAGGAAGAAGAAGGAGGGAGGGAAAGAAGGGAGGGAGGAAGAGGGAGGGAGGAAAAGGAAGGAAGGGGAAGAAGGAGAAGGAAGGGGAAGGAAGGAAGGAAGGAAGGAAGGAAGAGAAGGAAGAAGGAGAAGGAGGGAGGGAGGGGGAGGGAGGGAGGGAGGGATGAGAGGGAAGAAGGAAGGAAAAGAAAGAAGGAAGAAGGAGGGAAGGAGGAAGGAAGAAGAAGGAAGGAGGGAGGAAGGAAGAGAAAGGAAGGAAGGAAAGGAAGAGAAGGAAGGAAGGAAAGAAAGAAAGAAGGAAGGGAGGAAAGGAAAGGAAAGAAGGGAAAGGAAAGGAAAGGAAAGGAAAGGAAAGGAAAGGAAAGGAAAGGAAAGGAAAGAGGGAAGGAGAAAAGGGAAGAAGTCAAATAATCTCGATTTATCTAAAGTAAATCTCTAACATTTCTCTCTACCAATTGCTGAAGATCAATAAGTTTTCTTTTCAGGGGATTAAAATGCCAAAGATCCTTTTTCATTCCACTGCCATAAAGAAATCCATCTTGCAGGATGGATGGAAAGCAATGGGAATCTCTCTTTCTCTCTCTCTCTCTCTGACAGTCAAACATCTTCCCCATCGTCTCTCAGCAAAAGACAGGCAGTCCAAGAAATGGCACTTACGGTTGCAAACAATGGTGATCCTTCTGCTTTGCTCCTCTGAGTCCTTTTGGCACCAAAGAGAAGGACCTGCTTTCTTTCTATTTCAAGAGCTGGGAAGCCAGGGGAGGCGAAGGACCTCTCTCCTTCTCTCCCAGGGCTTTCAGAGCAACTGGGACACAAGAGTGTCTCCTCTGTTGCCTTTATATCATCCTCCCTTCTTTCTTTCCTCCTCCCCCTGCCTTGCTTCTCCTCCCCTTCGGTCGAAATCTGGGTAGATTCGAAGATCTTGCTTGACATGTCCCTGGAAGCTGCATTTACTTAAGCCAGCACTGATGCTTGGCCTGGAGGGTGGTGTGTGTTTTTTCAAGAGCAGAGCAAAAACTTGGCTCGGGAGAGAGAGTGAAGGAGGCTGAATTCAAAAGGAAGGAGGCCTTTGGTTGTACAGTGCCATCCTGTTGGTGTATCTACACTCTAGAACAGTGGTTCTCAACCTTTCTAATGCTGCGACCCCTTAATATAGTTCCTCATGTGGTGGTGACCCCCGACCATAAAATTACTTTTGTTGCTACTTCATAACTATTGTTATGAATCGTAACGTAAATATCTGATATGCAGATATTTTCATTCACTGTACCAATCTGGGCACAAATAACCGATATACCCAAATCTGAATACTCGTGGGGTTGGGGGGAGTTGTAGTTTCTGGGATTTATAGTTCGCTACAATTAAAGAGCATCCTGAACTCCACCAATGATGGAATTGAACCAAATTTGGCACGCATAACTCCCATGAACAAGAGAAAATACTGGCAGGGTTTGGTGGGGATTGACCTTGAGTTTTAGAGTTGTAGTTCACCTACATCCAGAGAGCACTGTGGACTCAAACAATGGTGGATCTGCACCAAACTTGGCACAAATATTCCATATGCCCAAATGTGAACACTGGTGGAGTTTGAGGAAAATAGACATTGACCTTTGGGATTTGTACTTACTGGGATTTATAGTTTGTGTACAATCAAAGAGTTTTCTGAACTCCACCAACAATAGAATTGGGCCAAAATTGACACATGGAACCCCCTTGACCAACAGAAAATACTGTGTTTTCTGATGGTCTTCAGTGACCCCTCTGACACCCCCTCGCGACCCCCCCAGGGGTCCCAACCCCCAGGTTGAGAACCGTTGCTCTAGAATGAGTGCAGCTTGGCACTGTTTTAACTGACCTGTATCACTCCTAGCTTCTGAAATACAGGATCTTCTGCTCTAGCAGTTTTTAATTGGCTAAAAATATTGAGCTGCTCCAAAGTGTATTTCAGACTGTATTTTGTGCCTTAATAATTTCTATCCAAAGTTGATGAGAGAATGGAGAGGGAATGGTTGTTTCCTTGATCAGCTGCATCTTTCACAGCTAAGAGTTACTATTTGGGGGAGTTGGCACAATGTTGGAGTATGGAGACCAAGGTCCAAATCTCTGCTCAGCTGTGAAACCCTCTGGATGACCTTAGGCATGTCACACTCTCTCAGCCTTGGGAGAACCCAATGGCCAACCTTTTTAGAACCAATCTTGCCAAGAAAACCCCATAAAGTGAATAGATCTGCAGGCTCTCTCTCTGTTTCAATCGCCAAATCAAGGCCAAATCAAGGCCCATTTGTGATCATGCAACTGCCAGGTTTTGCAAAACTTTCCCGGATATGGGTTCACATCAGAATGAATCACAAAAGAAGGGCATGATGAAATCATCAGGAAATGGGCACTGAGGTTTGATTGCCTGCCCAGCAGACTGACACATCCAAAGAGCAAACATGATGTGTGGTGGAGGAATATGGGACTTGGGGGGTACTGCTTTGCAGTGGCTCCGGTCCTTCCTTGAGGGACGGTCCCAGAAGGTGTTACTGGGTGACACCTGTTCGGCCCCACAACCGTTGTCATGTGGGGTCTCACAGGGATCAATTCTGTCCCCGATGTTGTTCAACATCTATATGAAGCCGCTGGGAGAGATCATCTGGAGTTTTGGACTAAGATGTTCTCTCTACGCAGATGATGTCCAAATCTGTCACTCCTTTTCACCTGTTGCCAAGGAGGTTGTCCAGACCTTGAACTGGTGCTTGGCCGCTGTGTCGGACTAGATGAGAGCTAAAAAATTGAAATTGAATCCAGACAAGACAGAGGTCCTACTGGTCAGTCGTAAGACCGAACAGGGCATAGGGTTACAGCCTGTGTTAGACAGGGTTACACTCCCCCTGAAGACGCAGGTTCGCAGCTTGGGAGTGATCCTGGACTCATCGCTGAGCCTGGAACTCCAGGTCTCGGCGGTGGCCAGGAGAGCTTCTGCACAATTAAAACTTGTGCGCCAGTTGCCCCCGTACCTTGGGAAGTCGGATCTGGCCATGGTGGTCCATGCTCTTGCTGCATCCCAAATAGATTACTGCAACGCGCTCTACATGGGGTTGCCTTTGAAGACTGTTCGGAAACTTCAATTAGTCCAACGGGCGGCGGCTAGATTACTCACCGGAGCATCATACAGGGAGCATACCACCCCCCTGCTATGTCAGCTCCACTGGCTGCCGATCCAGTTCCGAGCACAATTCAAAGTGCTGGTTTTGACCTACAAAACCCTTTACGGCTCCGGCCCAGTGTACCTGTCCGAACGTATCTCCTTCTACGTCCCACCTCGGAGTTTAAGAACTGCTGGGGAGGCCCTGCTCTCGGCCCCACCTTTATCACAAGTGAGACTGGTGGGGACGAGGGACAGGGCCTTCTCGGTGGTGGCCCCTCGCCTGTGGAATGCACTCCCTGGGGAGATTAGGTCATCAACATCCCTCCTCTCTTTCAGAAGGAAGCTAAAATCCTGGATGTGGGACCAGGCCTTTGGGTAAGCTGGCGAATGGACAAAGACAATGACGACCAGAGTAGGAAAGGACAATGACAATGCTAGATGGATTACGGATTTATGAATTGGCGAACATTGACCACAAGATGATTTTATTGCTGCTATTGTACTGTTTTGATTGTTTTAACTAGTTATAACTGTTGACGTTATATGTAATTTTGTATATTGTATTTTGTGAATTGTTGGGCATCGAATTGTGCCTTTTGTAAGGCGTCCTGAGTCCCCCCCTAGGGGGTTGAGAAGGGTGGGGTAGAAGCACCCCAAATAAATAAAATAAATAAAATAAACTTTAGTGGGAGCTCTGCTGCCTCACCAAAGGGCTTCAGCCATGGGTGAGTGAGGATTTAATTTCCTTTTAATTCTGCATTACCAAGTTATGTTAATTCCAATTTGTGTGGAATTGAGAAAGCAAAGAGGTCAGGCATACACACCCCAAGTTCCAAATCCACATACAGTGAATACTTTAGAATACTTTATCAAAAATTATTAGAAAGGGATACAGAGAAAGACTTGATAATGGACAATATGATTAAGTGGGCGATGGATGTCGGACACTCAATTTTATTAAAGGAGTGGGAACAGGTATGGAAGATCGGATTAAGATATACAAAGGTGGTAAACATAAAAGAAAATTGGTACCAGACATTCTATCGTTGGTATTTAACACCGGTCCAATTATCCAAATTTTACAAAAATTATAACAACAAATGCTGGAAAATGCGGGAAAGAAATAGGAACCTACTTCCACCTATGGTGGGGATGTAAAATAATAAAGAAATACTGGACTTCAATTCATAAACATGCTCAAAAAATAATTAGGGTTAAATATGATTTGAAACCGGAATATTATTTATTAAATTTAATAAACTTCAAGCTGGAGAAGAATGAGAAGATTTTGTTTTACTTGACAGCGGCAGCAAGAATTATTGTAGCCCAGACTTGGAAAAGAAAAGACTCACCTGCAATAGAAGACTGAATAGCTAAAACCATAGAATATATGGATATGGACAAGCTATCACAATTAATGGAAAATATTAATAAAAGAAACTATATCAATTGGGAATCATTGAAAAAATACTTGCAGGAAAAAATGAAACTTCAAATCTAACAAAAATAAAAAGGAAAGGATCTTAACAAGAAGTCAGCATATGAGGGAAGGAATTTTTTGTTTATTTAAAAGACTAAATCTTTGTGGATTGCACTGGAAGCACCCCACTCCACTTCATTTTTTTTAGTTTTACCCCATTTATTCCTTTCATTAGACCCCTTTCCCACTTCCCGCATTTCCTTCCCAATACTCTATTACCCCAACCCACTTATCCCTACTTTTCCCTTTTTTTCTTTTTTCTCCTTTTTTTCTTTCTATCTTTTCTTTTCTTTTTCTATAAACCAAATTGTTCACCCTCTTTCACTGTAAAATGGAAAAATGTGAATAAAGATAATTAAAAAAAACAAATCCACATACAGTAGAGTCTCGCTTATCCGACATAAACAGGTCGGCAGAACATCGAATAAACAAATATGTCAGATAATAGGGAGTCTCCTATTGTTACCCATCCAACGTGGTGCTAGACACTGGAATACTAACAAGAGGGAGTCAAAGGGTTAAAGCAGTGGTTCTCAACCTTCCTAATGCCGCGACCCCTTAGTACAGGTCCTCATGTTGTTGTGACCCCCAACCATAATGTTATTTTCGTTGCTACTTCATAACTGTATTTTTGCTACTGTTATGAATTGTAATGTAAATATCTGATATGCAGGATGTATTTTCATTCACTGGACCAAATTTGGCAGAAATACCCAATACGCCCGAATTTGAACACTGGTGGGTTGGGAGGGGGAGTGATGTTCATATACAGTGTCCTGTGGAATGATTATGTTCATTCGTTCAGTCGTCTCCGACTCTTCGTGACCTCATGGACCAGCCCACGCCAGAGCTCCCTGTCGGCCTTTACCACCCCCAGCTCCCTCAAGGTCAGTCCAGTCACTTCAAGGATGCCATCCATCCATCTTGCCCTTGGTCGGCCCCTCTTCCTTTTGCCTTCCACTTTCCCCAGCATAATTGTCTTCTCTAGGCTTTCCTGTCTCCTCATGATGTGGCCAAAGTACTTCCCTTTGTCTCTAGTATCCTTCCCTCCAATGAGCAGTCGGGCTTTATTTCCTGGAGGATGGACTGGTTGGATCTTCTCGCAGTCCAAGGCACTCTCAGCACTTTCCTCCAACACCACAGCTCAAAAGCATCGATCTTCCTTCGTTCAGCCTTCCCTAAGGTCCAGCTCTCACATCCTTAGGTTACTACAGGGAATACCATGGCTTTGACTATGCGGATCTTTGTTGCCAGTGTGATGTCTCTACTCTTTACTATTTTATCGAGATTGGACATTGCTCTCCTCCCAAGAATAAGCGTCTTCTGATTTCCTGGCTACAGTCTGCATCTGCAGTAATCTTTGCACCTAGA